ATTCCAGCTTGCAGGACTGGCCTAGGGTAATTTTTAGGGGGGTTTTAATTATATTTTAATTCGACAAATATTTAATATTCTTTTTAATTAATTTTAAATTTGTATTGTCTTGTATGTATTTTAAATAGATTGTCAGCCGCCCTGAGTCCTACGGGAGAAGGGCGGGATATAAATTCAAATATAAATAAATAAATAAATATATATAAAAATAAGGTCCAGGAAAGCTGAGGGGCAGAATGCCTGCCTGTCTTTCCTAACACAAGCTCTGGAGGTCTTTGAAAGGTAAATCAATGATCCAGTGGCGTAGCGTGGGTTGTCAGCACCCGGGGCAAGGCAAGTAATTTGCGCCCCCCCTCCACAGTGGGCGGCGACCCGGTGGCTCGGATCGGATTCGCACAGCCAGCACTGCAGAAAGAGTGAGTGAGCCAGGCAGGGGCAGAGAGCTGCGAGTGCGAGCGCGCCCCCCCAGATGTTGCGCCCGGTGCGGCCGGCCCCCCCTGCACCCCCCACGCTACGCCTCTGCAATGATCCATGACAGAAGGTGGGGAACCCAGTGGGGTGAGAAGCAGACTCAAGGTTTCTGGGGACCCAGCAGGGCAGGACAGGGAGGGGGAGACAAGTGGAAGGGCTGCTGCAGCATCCCTGCAGTTGGTGGTAAAGGTGAATGAACCCAAGGGCACTGCAGTGGCTGTAACTTCGAAGCTTGGTCATAAGTAGCTTTCAGAATTGGGGGGTATGTATCATAACTGAAAGGTAACTAAGCAACTCCTTATAAGTCAAGAACTTCATGTAAAATGTATAACAAATAGGGCCAACAAAATGGAAAGAAACTAGGGAGATTTATCTATTTTATCCCCATTTTTAATAAGTAACTCAAGGCAGTAAACATATCTAATACTCCTTTATCTTCCTATTTTCCCCTCAACAACAACTTTGTAAGGTGGGTTGAAAGAGAGTGACTGACCAAAATTACTTAGGCAGCCTGCATGCCTAAGTGGAACACAACTCATGGTCTTCCATATTCTAGCATGGTGCAAGACAGAATTAATGCAGGGAATGGTTAAACACATTTAACATATTACTTTTATATACAAGAATTGAAACAATACAATTCAAAACGTGCTGTTTTTTTAAAATCAGACGTATTTTTCCAGAAACAATTATAAATTACTTTACAATTATGTACTGACAAAATAATGCTTATGATCATACCTTTATCTTTCTTGAAATCTAAAGCATCTTCCTTATCTGTCACTATTTCTTTCATGTTGATTATACTTGGATGATTTAGTTGTCGAAGAATCTTTATTTCCCTAATAGCTGTAATAGGAAAACCTTCTTTTTCATTATCCAATCGTACTTTCTTTAATGCCACCATTTCCCCTAGGAAAATATTAGTCAAACTATTATTAGCAAAAACTAAAATACTGACATATCCAGAAAATAGTTTCATATTATAAATATATAAGAATAGAATATAGAAATAGAAAAAAACTACCTTGTGGCTAACTAATAAATTACAGTATTCTGAATTAAAAATCTCTACAAGCTCTATATTTATCAAAATATGAAGTTCACCAAGGCCTTTCATTTTATAAAATAAGATAATCTTTATTGTCATTTTTTTTTACTGTGGGCACACATTAAAAATGAAATTCTGCTGCCTGTTCTCAAAAGTGTACACATACATAAAAGACATATAAGCATGCTGCATACATACATATGTATATACTGTACCTATACCCTTAGATATAAATACATATAAATATTAATCACTGTCCATCTTGAATACACAGCGGAAAGAGGAAGTTTGAGAATTCATAAGGTTGATACTGCATGGAACAAAACTGTGACTGAATCTGGATGTTCTGCTTCAGATACCATGAAGCCTCCTCCCAGAAGGTAACAAGGAAAACAGGTCATGAAGAGGATGTGTAGCATCCCAGAGAATGCGGATCCTGCTCAAGAAATGCTTATATGCTATGTCCTGGAGAGAAGGGAGTGAACTGCCAATAATCTTTTCTGCCATCCTCACCATTTTCTGCACTGCCTTCCTGTCTGAAGCAGTAATGCTTCCAAACCAGGCAGTAATGCCATATGACACAATACTCTCAATCATCCCTCTGTAGAAAGTGGTAAGGACGGGAGAAGGAAGATGTACTTTTCTCATGCAAGGCAGAAAATGCAGGCGATTAAGCTCAATTTGATTCAGCAAATCAAGTATTCTATCAATTAATCAAGACTGACTTAACTTTAAAAGTCTGGACAGCCAGCTTGATATAATAATTAAGTCAAATGGCTAGGAATCAGAAGGCTATGAGTTCTAGTCTCACCTTAAACATAATGACACACCTGATGATCTTAGGCAAATCATTTTTTCTCTGCCTGAGCAAAGACAATGCCAAACCCCTTCCAAAATTTTGCCAAGTAAGCTGTCGAAACTACAGGCAATCCTCAATTTATGACCACAACTGAGTGCCAAATTTCCATTGCTAAGAAAGCAGTTAAATGAGTTATGTCTTATGTACATTTTTGCCACAGTTGTTAAGCAAATCATTGCAGTTATTTAGTGAATGATGCAGTCATTAAAGAAATCTGGCTTCCCCCAATGATTTTGGTTGTTGGAAGCCAGCAAAAAAGCTTACAAGTGGTGATCACATGACCCCAGGACAGAGCAACTGTCATAAATACATGCCAGTTGCCAAGCACCCAAATTGTATGAAAAATCATTTTTTTTCAGTGCTGTTGTAACTCTGAACAGTCACTAAACAAACAGCTTTAAGCACTACCTGTAGTCCAGAAAAATCCCAGGAATCAGCACTGAGTGGAATTAATTAAGTGGAATTAATACATCTTAAATCAGTTTTCATGTCTTCTTTCATGTCTCCAGCCTTGAATCATAATTCCAGAATATATTCATTTTTATGAGGTATATGCAATGCCAAACCAATTGATAACACAAATGCTCATCTTTATACCTCCTACTATATATATGAATTTCCCTTCCCAACAGAAAGTGGAACACATGAAGAAACCATAAAATCACCAATACAAGTTTTCCAAACATCTATGTTAAAGAATAAGTCCTCGACTTACAACAATTCATTTAGTGACAACGGCACTGAATAAAATGACCTGATTGTTTTATACATTTATAAGTGTTGCAGCATCCCTATAGATCAAAATTCAGATGCTTGAAAACTGACTCATATTTATGATGGCTTTTCAGCCTTCTAACAAGCAAAGTCAATGGGGTGTTAAGATTCAATTAATAACCATGTTATTAATTTAACTACAATGATTCATTTAACAACTGTGGCAAGAAAGGTCATAAAATGAGGTAAAAGTCACTTAACAACTGTCTCGCTTAGCAAGTGAAATTTTGGGCCCAATTATGGTCATAAGTCAAGGTCTACTTGTATGCATTCTGACCATATACTAGTAGAAACTGCAACAATTACTTATAACATCATTTTTGTTGTGAATCATAATTTAAAACTTACCTGTATCTTTATCTCTGGCTTTGTAAACTTGCCCATAGGTGCCTTCTCCAATAATGCCAATGATATCAAACTTATCTACACAACGTTTCCCCCAGTCAATTTCTTTCTGCTTTGTTTCACCATGACGTGGTCCACATATCCTAACCAAATAATTAATAAGATTTTGTTCCACAAGAATATGTTTATATTTTTGTCTACAAAAGTACTTCTTGGTACATTTGTCTGTGCAAATATTCCATTAAATATTAAATTATTTTTTAAAATATCAGTCACTCATACAGTGAATTAACATTTTATATCCCCCTCCTTGCAGTGCTATACTACAAATCTTATGCAACAATTTTCACCATAATTGGCTACTTTGGTTTCATGTTGCCCTTAAACCCCCCCCCCATGGATGTATTTTTCAAAAGCAGATTATAGTATACTGTGAAGATTGCCTATTTCTACAGTTCAAATAAAATAAAGCAGTTTTTTTTTTACAGGTAAAATAGGGAAATTGAATGATCTGGAATACCAACTAGAAACATTTAAATACACCTAGTTTTTTTAATTCAAATACTATTCTTAAATTACTCTATTTCACAATCTGAAATTAACATATAAATCAGAGAACAACAAAGATATAATCTTATTTTAGCATTTAAAATACTATTTAATGATGCATCTATGGATTGGTATATTTCTGCCCAAATACTATAATTCTGGATGCAAAACAAAAATGAGAGTACAGAGAATGTACAGCAGGGCTTTTTTTCAGCCGGAACGCGGCGGAACCGCGTTCCGGCACCTTTTTCCGGGCCGGCCGCACCGGAAATAGCCCCTCCCAAATTTTACTTGCATTCCTGTTCTCTAAAGGGGCGGTCCTAGGGTTTGATGAGGGCGTGGCCAGGTTTGAGTTCCGCCACCTTTTCTCCGAGAAAAAAAGCCCTGATGTACAGTATCTATTAAAGAACATAAAAGTCCATTGATAATTTAAAATCTAATTTTTCTACTTGTTCATGCACAAAATACAAAAAGCAATCTGAACAGAATTCTATAGTGAATCAGTTATCAATTCCCTTGAAACAAGCATTTTAAAATGATTTTTGTATTTTATGTTTATTATGATCTATATATTAAAAAATAAATACACATACTTCGGTCTCTTTTTATGATGTGATGGCACTAGTATCCTTTTCTCTTCTGGGCTTTGGGATATATCATCTCCTCCAGGTAACTCAGGTGGCAATGGCAAGTCTGCAAGCAAATGGCGTAATTTCTTCTCCACTTCTTTTTTCACTGCTTTTACTGAAATGTTACCTTGCAAACTATAGCAAAATAAAAATATGTTTTTTGTCAGCATAAATGACAAATTTCTAACTAAAACAAAGTATCAGGTTCTACTACATTTTTCCAAAATCATACTTATATAAACGTAAGGGAAAAGGTTAAACCTAGACTTTTGGTAAAATACAAGACACAGTGAACATCAGTACTAATCCATGTACTTTGTATACATTTCTAAATAGCCATTAAAATGGATTGGTGAAGGGTTTGGCTGCAAATGCTTTTTTAAGCATACATAAGATTAGAAGTTAATGTTAGTATAACAAAAAGTATTTAATTTCATTAAACCCATCTGGCATTTGCAGGTTGACATTGCATCTTTAAAAATTATATTTCACAACTCACCAATCTGTATCTTTATCTTCAGGCAGCATGGGAGGAAGAGGCAAGGGTGGCAGAGTGGAAGTGATTGGCGCAACACTACAGTCTTTCTCCTTAGATGCTGCAGTTAGGATATGAGGTTTATTCTTCTCTTTTACTGCAACAGGTTGTGTTGTTGGTTTCACAAGGGTTGTTTTATTTTCTTTTGCTGCTAAAACTTTCTGTTTAGCCACTTTCTCTACAGTCACATTGTTTTTCACTTTAGTTTCCTGAATAGGAACTTTTGTTTTTGTCTTATCATTTTTCAAGCTTGAACTATTTAAAGGAGAAGATATATTTTCTATTTTTATCTTTTTTACTTCCTTTACATTGTTCACTTGTTGTACAGCAATTCCTATGTCAATTCCCTTAGTAGGTGTAGAGGTGTTTGAAACTTTTGCATTGGCTTTAGCTGCCTCTGCTGCCCTGGCTTTTTTGTTTTTGTTCAGCTCAGCCCCCAGGCTGCTTTTTAGAGTCAGAGTACTTGGAGAAATACTGGACTGCCGACTTCTGGATCTTGACAATCTGTGTCTACTACGAGATCGTGAATGTCTTGATGAATAAGGACTTCTGCTTCTGGATTTTGCTGGTTTTCTGCTTACAAAAATAAAGTTTTAGTGAGTAAATATTGTTATAATGCTAAATTACAATGAACACCTTTTACAGCCATTCTATTAATATTTTTATTGGTTAACTGGCTTTTTTTTAAATCAAAAAGCTTTAATAACAGCAAGAGGTCACTATGTTACCTAACAAATTTTAAATGTGTGTTTATATTTCAGAATACTTCAAGCAAATTTTAACTGTATAAATTTGAATACTTACTGATTCAGAATATCACCCAAAGCTAAGATTTCATCAAAAAAATTAAATAAGCTTTGAAATGATTTGTTATTGAAAGATTTAAGGTTTAAAATTAAATCTTCATTTTGATATCCAATTAGAACACTAAGCAGAAGAACGGGGGGGGGGGATTGAATAGACAAAGTTAAACAGAAGAAAGTTTGATTTAGATGGGATAAGTTAGAAGGGGTGATTTTTACTTTTAAACAACAGAGATTAGAAAGCAAGAGATCTTTTGAAAAACTTTAAAATAGAATTGGAGGAAATACAAATGAGAGTGACAACTGCAAAAACGACCAGGCAAATGTGATAGTAGAAACAAGACATAAAGAGGATTTCAAGTTAGATAGATAGGCATTTACTTTTCTAAAATCTTGGCATGAATTATAAATGTTCAGTGTAGAATATAAATGGGAAAATCTCCTCAAAACTGAAAAAAAATAATCATTAAAAATTTAAAACAAGATGTAATTTGTTTAACAAGAAATACTTTATTTGGGAAAAAATGTAAAATATTTAAGTAAAAAAAAATCTGAAAGAATTTATTTTAGCAGAATTGAAAAAAATGTTTTGTATATAAAATCTGCAGCTATATCCAAAACTTATACTGACTGTTGATTATGGCACATATGTCATGGTATACAGGTAGATTAAATTTTTGATATTGGAAACTTATGTCTTAAATGAAGATAAAACAGCATTTTATAAAGGTCATGGCTAAATTATTGGATTTTACATATGAAAATTGGGGGATCGGAATCAAGTACCGTAGTTTCTCCACAAAAAGAACCTTTAAAAAATATTAAAAATACAGAGGATAAATTAACCCTTTTTTAATTTAATGGATAATTTGGAGCATTTTGAATGCCGGAGATATAAAACAGTTGAAAAGAATATATTTATTTTTATGAAAAACATAGATTTTTCAAGAATATATATGATTTGGATTTCTATGATTTGGGTAATAATGTCTATAAAGTGGAAACATTATCAAAGATCTTTTCAAATCACTTTTAAAAGGAAAAATGGATGATCATGGAAAATGTCAGAATGATAAAATTCTGAATACTGGTCGAAAAAAATAAAATATGGATATTTGATAATTATTCCAACATCCAAAGTTCAAAGAAGCAATCATTTTCTTTCTGGTTCTGTTGAGGTTTGGGAGAAGCTGAATTTAAAATTGAAGAGATATAAACAATGACAATTCAACTATAAAAATACATAGGAACCTGAACCAGCTTATTTCCTTGTCAACATTCAGCATCAGGATTATTGCTGGATTGTTAAAGAGGGCTTTACAATAAATGGGCATCTACATTGTTCTATAATACCAATTATGATTAACTGCAGCACAAAGAGTGAGACTATTAAAATATATTTGCTAATGATATATCAACTGTATCATATTGGTAGAAGATACTAATTTAAACTGAAAATCTTTTGAGTACTAACTAATTCAACTATTAACCACAACTGTTTCTTCTATTGATTGAGAAGAATTTTTTCTTTCTTTGGAATAACTGATTCAAAACTGAAAAGCAATTTAAGAAGTAAAAAAGCAGAAAAGTTGCCCTTCCCACAGGATACTGAAAAAAGATACAAAGTATTCATTAACTATAACAACATATACCTTACTAGTGCTAACCTGGCTGAAATTGCTTATTTTTAAGAAACAAAAATCAAATGCATATTTTCTATTAATGAACTATTTTATTATTTGTTTGGGATAATTACTCTAAATAATTATCAGTTCTGTCTAAAAGCTGGTGATGGACATACAAAAATGTTTCCAAATGTTCACTCAGTTAATTGAACTGTTGATGGTTACTAATATTTATATAATTGTAACATTAATTTGGAACAAAAGAGATCACGTATGCCTCAACTTACAAACATTTGTCTAGTTCGAAGTTACAAAGGTACTGAAAAAAGTTATTTATGATTGTTTTTCACACTAACAACTGTTGCAGCATATATATGGTTGTGTGATCAAAATGTGGATTGGCAGCTGGCATGTATTTATGATGGTTGCACTGTATTAGGGTAACGTAATCAACTTTTGCAAACTTCTTGACAAGGTTGTCTTCAATGGGGAGGAACACATTCACTTAATAACCACATTACTAACAATTACAGTGATTCACTTAACTGTGCAAGAAAAGTGGTAAATTGGGCAAAACTCACTTAATTGTCTTGGTAGCAACAGAAATTTTGGGATCAACTGTGGTCATAAATTGAGAACTACCTCAACTTTCTGTACTCTCACAAAATAACTATATCAAAGTGCTGAAAAATATCAGTTCAGATTTTAAATACCAAAAAGTGTTATATGTCAAAAGGAGAAATTCTAAAATCTTTCTGATTAGCAATTTAAATCAAATCCAGTTTATTTAAGAAATGCTTTTTTATTAACAAAAATTATCCTATTTGAATTATTTTCAGAATCATTAACAGATTCAAGTGAATTAGAGACTATCATAATACTTCATCAAAACAAGTACTTCGTATTCAGATTTCTCATTGGACGCTCAAGAATATCTGCAGAATACCCTTCATCAAATTCAGAAACTGAGATGCTTTTGAACAGGGAAATATCCTGTCAAGTCAGCTTGGAATAGTGATTAAGGTTTCTGAAAAAGACCTTTATGTCCCACCTTAGGCACAAAACCAGTGACTTTAAACTAGTCAATTTCTCTCAGTCCTAGGATGAAAGCAAATCACTACTGAAAATCCTTGCCAAGAAAACAGCAAGGATTGGTCCATGTAGTCTCTAAGAATCAAATACAATTGAATAGAAGAAAAAAACTCATATCCTGTAATAAAATTAAGGTTCAATGACCCCAATATAACCCTTAAAAACCAAAATTTTAGTACTTTGGTCATCTAAAAGTTTCCCTGGCTCCTAGTTTATCCAAACATAATTCAAAGTGCTGCTAACATTTGAAGTAAAACTACTTATAGCATAAAGCAAAACCACATGAAGAAACAACTCCTCCAAATGAAAATTATATATACTAACCTCATATTATAAGGCCTGTGTCTGTGCACCTGGATCTCAACAAGATAAATTATCAACAAATGAAAATCACTTTTCAACTAAAAATTGCATTTAAAATATTTAACTGCTACTTCTTTTTATTTTATTCAAATAAGCCACTTCCTTTTTTATTTTCCTAGTCACTTGACTGACTAATGATTTACAAAGCTTCTGTGGGTTTTTTTTCATTATATTTTAATTACTATTTAATTTTATATTATTTTATAATAATTTATTTCATTTTATATTATTTATATTATAGCCCTTACAATTTTGTAAGCTATTTATGGAGAAACCTATATTATCATTGAGAAATAGAGATCTAATTCTCCTTGTAATCAATTATTTTTTATTTTATCTTGTAGTTCTGCTGGATATCAGCTTACTTATTTTCAATAATTCTGTTTATCTAGTGATGGAGTGTTGCATCATTTGTTTATTTGTTGAAAGCTAATGTGCAGAGTTGCATACAGTTAGGAAATACATACTTTTTTCTAGAAATCCCATTGAGCACAACATTTATTTTTGTGTATTTTTCCATATACATATGAAAATGTAGTTAGGAAATAATTCTCAAATCTGTATTTTCAAGTAAAATCAACTGATTAAGTGTAAATATTCTTCAAATATTGATTTTGCTCTAGAGCTTGATTATTTAGAACTCACAATTTAACCTGAAAATTATACTCCAATATGCAAATTTATAGTATTAGCCACTAACTGCAATTTTTTTAATACCAGAATATCACTGTAAAGGCTGTATTTCCTCAAACACTGCCTAATTCCAAGATAGACTATTCATTTCTAGCTGCAATAGCTAATGCAAGAATCACATATTTTAAAAATGCCCATTTCTAATATCATTGTAATCAATGGTTCATATGTGTAAAATTGATTGATGCTAAATAACTCAGATTTTTTCTGTTTCAGAAGTTGCCCAATTTTCAAAAATACATTATTTTATGTTCCGTCCATCTCACCCCATTTCACTCTCTTATATTTGATTAACCAGCTGGAAGACACACATTATCATCGGATTATTCTATTTTGAGAGTATAGCCTGAAATAATGCATTTTAAAGAAACTTCAACCTTATGATTACCTGATGGCTGGACTATAAGGGCTGCGCGAGCGACGTCTGTAAAGACTCGGTGATACATCCCCACCACACTCGAAAGAACTGTGCCGGCTGTAGCTGGGTGACCGACGCCAATAAGGACTAAGAGAAGACCGGGGACTGGGGGACTTGCGGTTCCGTTGGCTTTGTGAAGCTCTGTGGCTAGTTGGGCTGTCATCTCGATAAGGACTAGGGGACGATCGTTGCCGCCTGTAGGCCCTGGGTTCTGTCTTATCCTCCCGGTAGGCTTTAGGCGGTTCCTTGTAAGCTGAGGGAGGCTCTTTGCCTGCTTTCGTCCGGTTCCGGTGGCTTTTAGTTTCCCGGTCTTTCCGACTGCTACTAGGCGACGCAGCTGAGCCCTTCCTGCGGCCGTCGCTGCCGCCGCCGCCGCCGCCCCGGGAGCCATCCCGGTCCTGGCCACCGCTGTGATTGTGGCGGCTGCGAGACTTGGATGAAGAAGAGGAGGCCTCAGCTCCCCCCCTGGCAGCCGCGGCCACCCCCTCCTGCTGTAACGGCGCCTTGTCCTTGTCCACCCCCCGCCTGTGGTGTTCCCGGTGCCGCTCCCGAGAGCGACGCCCACTGTTGCTGCGGTGTTCCCTGCGCGGCCGCCGGATGCTCCGATCCGCCTCACCGCGGCTTGAGCGCGGTTGGTTGCCCCCGCCGCCACCAGAGGACGCCGGGCTCCCGCCGCCGCTCCCTACCCCAGCCGTCCCGCCTCCCACTGGTCCCTCCGACTGGGAGCTTACGTCGTCGTATTCTTCGGCCGTCCCCTCCACTAGTGGCCCCAATCCCGCCCCAATCCCGCGCCGCTCCGAGGCTGCGAGGGCCGCCCCTGAGTTACCTGCACCTGCACCCCCTGATCTGCCGCGCCGCCGTTTGGCCCGAGTCCCCGCTCGCCGCTTGCCTCGCGGTCGCTTCCGCTCCCCCCCTTCCCCACAGCAGGAGGAGGCGGCGCCGCCAGTGGCCGCCAGGAACAGCAGAGACTGCGGCGGCAGCGGCGGCTGCAGGAGCGAGGGCTGCAGCAGCGGGAACAGCAGCGAAGGTGCCGGCGGGCCCGCCACAGGTGACGGAGGCAACGGGGGAGGCTGCTGCGCCGAAGCGTAGCGCTTCCGCCTCCGGTGATGCAAACGCTTTTTTTCTGCCGCTGGCGATTCGGAACCGCCGGCCCAGGCCCGGATACCGCTCCCGCCTCCGGACGTCGCCGCCTCTGAGGTACTCGGCATCGGGATCTCTCTCCGGCAAACAAGAATCCGTCAAGGCGCCCAAGAGGTGGAGGAGAAAGAAGCAATCGCCATTGGGGCCCTTTGCCAGGTTCGGCTCCGTAGGACGAGTCTCTCCTGCCGTCCTCTGTCTCCTCACATAGAAGGACAGGCAGTTCCTTAGGCTGGGACCGTCAGCTGTAGCTTCCACGAGCTCCTAAAACCAGGGATGGTGGCTGCCTCTTCGCCTGACACAAACCGGTCCCATTTCCCGGCTGGGCCCCGAGTTAGGCCTGCGCGCCTCTCTCTCGGTGCTTATGCCCAAACGGTCCCTCAAGGCCGTGCCCGAACGCTTCGTGTCCCACCGCTCCTTCTGCTGCCCCCGGTTCGTTGGTTCGCTCCGTATCCGGGAGAACGAATAAGGGATGAGAAGGAGCAATTGCCAAATAGTCTCCGTCGTCCTCTGCGTTCGCTTCTCTCTCACTCGCGCACACACAGAAAGAGACAGAAGGGAGACGGCCGGCGCAGCCAGTACAACTGCGCGTGCGCCACTGCGCTGAAGTAAGAAGCAATGAACCTATCTCTAAGCTGGAGAGTTCGGTTTGTTCCTTTTCCAAACGCAATCAACAAGAACTCGCGAGACTGTCTCTCTCACGTCCCTCTATACCGGAACATTCGACAGGCAACTTCCCGAACGTGTCCTTGTTTCTCTAGATCAGAGATACAACAATCCTAGGTGGTAATCTCGCGAGTCTTCCGGTTTTGCATTGATAGCAATTCAATATTTCATGTGCGGAGAAGACAGGCGGTATTATATGGATTGAGCCATTCATATCAAATGAAGACATTTCTTGTAAAGTTTGATAGTTAAAGGAAACTGAATGAGAATGAACTGTTGTTAGTGCTATTCTTATTTTATTATTTCTTTGCTGTATTAAGTAGCAGCTTAGACGCCCTTGTCCTCGAGAAAGCTTCTACTTTAATTGGAATAGTAAAATTTGGCGTATGGATCTGTAGAATTTGGGAGGGAGAGCCAGTTTGTTTAAGACTTCAGGCTATAAACCAGTTGATTGTGAGCTCCAGGAAAAAGTGAGCGGTAGTCCTGGTTTAGACATAAAAACTGGCTCGTTCTCAGTCTAGGACGTCAGACTCGGGGACAAGCAAGTCGGTTAATTTGGGGTGGGGGGAGCGAAGCCTGTATCTGCAAGAAAAACAGGGAAAGGGAAAAGTGTAATTGGGAGACAGCGGCGGAGACTTTTAATTTGCTTTAAATCAGCCTCTCTCCAACCCAAATGGAAAATGGCAGAGTTAAAAATATTCATTGTTAACAGAGAGCTATTCATACTACATACTTAGACATAAGACTAAGGAATTAGATGTTCAGCAGAGTGATGGCACGAGGGAAAGAACTGTCTGCGTCTAGTTCTTTTGGTATGCAATGCTCTGCAGCAGTGTCCTGAGGTAAGGAGTTGAAACAGTTTATATGTCCAGGATGTGCGGGATCAACAGATATTTTCTCAGCCCTGACCCAGTATGTCATCAATGAAAAGCAGGCTGGTTGCAATTGTTTTTTTCTGCAGTCTAATTATAAGATGAAGCCTGTACCTGTCCTGTTTGGTTGCTGTATCAAACCAGTTACAGAAGTACAAGTGACAGACTTAATAATTTCTCTGTAGGGCTAAACTATTGGAATTAAACTTTTTGGGGATTACCTATAAGGATTAAATGTTGCTGTATTTTGAAATGTTAAATACAAATGTTTATCTAATTTAAATTAATTTAATTAATAATCTAATTTAAATTCTTCACTGACTGGAGGCTGACTCCTAGCACCAGCAAACAGTAACTATATGCCTCCATCTTAACAACAAACTAGCATATAAAGCCCCAAAGGTCTGCTTAAACAACAACTTATTCCCTTATAATCCTCATCCAAAGTACCATGGAGTAACATTGGACAGGACTCTCTCTGGTAAGATACACCTAGAGAACATGGCATCAAAAATCAATACTAAGAACAACTACTCTAGAAACTTTGTGGAATTAAATGGGAAGCTACAGCTCCCACCCTCAGTTCATCAGCACTAAGGTTAGTCTACTGCCCTGTATGGCTTAAACAGCTGCCATACCAGTAAGTTAGATGCCAAACAAATGACACTATGAGGATTATATGTAGATGTATTAAAACCACTCCAATTTCCTGACTTCTTGTTCTCAGCCATTTACCATGTTTTCCCGAAAGTAAGACCCTGTCTTACTTTCTTTTGGGCTCTGAAATAAGCAGAAGGTCTTACTTTCGGGGAGGGCTTTTTGCTAGTACTGGCACCAGTAGCCTGCGAGCGCGCGGGGGTGTGGCGGGGCCTATGGAGAGGCATCTTGGCAGTAAGAGTGTGGTGGCGCACCAGGTACGGTACTGGTGTGGTTGTGGGTGGGAGCAGAAAGGGTGCCAAGCCTGGTGCTGGGCGAGTTGGTCCAGATTTTCCGTGCGATCGCCAGAGCACACAGCCCTGCTGGCCTGCCAGGGCCCTTTGCCAGCGGCTGCTGGTAAGACTGCGCCACCCATGCCTCTGCCTTTGAGCTGATGAGTGCCGCCAGCCTGCATGCCTACTTGGTGCTGCAGGCACTGGGCTAAGGGCTGAACCTGGTGCTCTTTGGGCCCTGGCGGGCGCTGCACCTCTCATACCAGCTGGGCGCTTTTGGCCTCTACTGGCTGCTCCCACCGGATCACCTTCCGCCTGGCCAACTGCTACCACCGCCGCCACCATGAAATAAAGAGGTGAAGCAGGTGGCAAGGGGGTGGAGTTGCTTTCTTCCGCCTGATGGACACCTGCCAAAGCCACGCAGGGTAAGGTTGCCACGCCCCCTCGCCCAGATGCCTCCCCAAGCGTTATTTTACTAACCTGCCTTTCAGCTGCATTGCATTTCTCCATTCACTTCTCAGCCTTCGACGCATGTTTGTGGGACAAAAAAAAAAAGTTCAATCAGATTTTCTAACTTCTCGCAAGATCTCAAGAAGTTAGAAAATCTGATTGAACTTTTTTTTTTTGCTCTGGCAGTCACATGGAAGATCTAGGCCGACTCGCCCTGTGCCAGGCAAGAGCAGCCCAGCAAGGCAGCCCAGAGCAGTGTGGCCAGGAGGGCAAAGGCGAGGCCAGCAGCATGGGCAGCCACTTGGCAGCTGCATGGCACCCGTCGCGGCCGAGAAATATCCCAGCAGCAGTAGGGCCAGCAGGCAGGGTAGGCAGAGGCCGGGGCTCGCCGAGGGTTTGGTTCGTTGTGGCCGCAAGCAAGTAGGCGGTGGGACTGAGAGGGCGGGCTTGCAGTAGTCGGTTCCACCGGTGGCCACTGGCAAAAGGCCCTGGCAGGCCGATGGGGGGGCGCTCCAGCGGCTGCATGGAAGATCTGGGCCGACTTATCCCGCCCTGCGCTAGGGCTTACTTTCAGGGGAGGCCCACCCCCCTAAAATCAGCTGGGGCTTACTTTTTGAGTAGGGTTTACTTTCAGGGAAACACGGTAGCATCACCAGATTTATGGAGGCAAGTTGCACTAGTGAGAGAACACAGAAAAATTATGAACAATTCACTCTTACTGGTGCATGCCGATTTTTCTCATTTATCAGGTTGAAGACTCAAATTCAGGAAACCGCCACAGGCACCTGTACAATGTCTTCCCTACAATTTTAACATCGATTCGCAATGGAAAGCCAAATGAGTTGCTGAATGCCCAGATATAGGAAGATATATATCTTCCTCAGCAATGGACAATAATGAATAAAATTTACATCGCTGTATAAATGGGGCATAGTATCTTCCTCTCAGTGTGACTGCGGAGTCCCACGTCAAACTGTAGATCACATTGTGACCAGCTATAAGCTGAGGGCATACACTGGTCCAGTATCTGATTTTTTAAAAAATATAAACGATGGCACGCTTTAATGATTAGATAGCCTAAGCATTGGTATTTGAACATGGATCTTTTTAACATTTATATTTCATTTGTTTTACTAATCTAGGTGAAATGTTTATATTGCTAGTCCATGTATGATATGCCATATGTTAAATAAATCTAATTTAAAATTATGTTCTGAGGTAAGTTGCTTGGTATGGATGCAGCAAAAGATAACTTGATAAAAAAGAGATTACCAATAACAGAATAATTGTAGCTCAGGGTTGAAATGAGGGGTCATTGGTGCTCTGTGAGCTTGGTTGTTTTCTTGCAGATTTTCATTCCCAAATTAGGTAACCTCATCAGTGCTAGTGGTGCTATCAGTAGCACTGATGATGTCACCTAATTTAGGTAATGAAATGTCTGTAAAAAAAATAACCAAGCTCAGAGAGCAACAAGACCCCTCAAAATAGAATTTATTGGAACTAGAAGTCATCACTTGAATTTTGGATGACACATTTATGGTATGATAAAGTTTAGTTTAATATAGATTTTAATAATTAGTTTTTTAGACACAGCATATTGTGAGTTTGGGATAAATGTAAATTAAAAATTCAAAAGCTCTTCTGTGGTTCTCACCAGAGGAGGTTTTCTTTAAAAGAGAAATGATGGTTAAAACACTTGCTTGACTTATATCAAGCTACTAACATTTGTTGAAAGAGAATCTATCTTAAAAATAAGAGAAAATCTGAAGCAGGAAGATTTTATGAATCAATGGTTCACCTATGCTAACTGTTTGAAAGACAGTTCTTTTACACATGAAAGAACTGATTTTGAGATCGATCTATGTACCAGCATTGAACAATGGTACATTGCTAAAATATATAAAATCCCTGATTGAAGATGAATATAGATCAGACATGTCAAACACAAGGCCCGGGGGCCGGATGCGGCCCGTGAAGTGGTTTCATGTGGCCCACGAAGCCATCCTGGAAACAGTGAGGGAACGGCCCTCTCTGCCTTGGCCCTGGCCCAGGCCAGCAGGGAGCCAATGTACAATTTTTTGGTGGCCATTTATGCTGAAACGCATTCAGTTTTAGCTCCATAAGCCCCCCCCCCGCATGACCTGAGAGGAACAGTGAGGCTTCTCCAATGGACCATGCCTTGGCACTTGCCCTGGTCCCATCCCCTTCTGCCAGAGACCCTCAGATCTGTCCCACTCTTGCCCAGGCCCCTATAGGCACCCTTGACGCGAACGATGTAGAGCTGGCCACACCCACCCAGTAGGCCACACCCACTCCATCCACGCCCACCCAGTAGGCTGCACCCACCCTGGCCACACCAACCCGCCCCCCTGAGAGCAACCGCAATGCTGATGCGGCCCTCAATGAAATTGAGTTTGACACCCCTGCTATAGGTGGTTATCACAGGTGTCATCACTCGCCAATATCTAAGTTTAGTTATCTGTCTAGACAATTACAGTGGAGCACAGAAACCTGCATGTAGAGATCTAGCTAAATAGGCTCTGTTTAAGCAATAGTTAGCTAGTTTATGCAAAATGTGTTTGTCAAATCTAGGCAGTTAATTCAGTTCAGTAAACCCATTTGTCTGGTTAGCAAGCAAATATGATCTTGGTTATAATATTCAATATTAGCATATCATAAAATGCAGATTCATTTATAGAGATGCATAAATCCAATATATGAAGATTACTCATATTACTGGAAAATGTTGAACAGTACAAATCTTGCTGCCTCTACATAACATAGAGATCCATTTGTGTACATAACTTATAAAAGGGGAGGGAATTATTGTTAACATCTTATTGGAGTAATTATCTGGACCCTACCCAAGAAGTTCCAGAATTAAGTATGTAATCTGGATGGATGAGTGGGTGGGTGGATGGATGGACCAACAGACAGACATCCTTAATGTACATCTACTAGTTGTTTTATGACCATTCAGAGTTTTGATGGCCTCACAAGTGCTTTATGACAAAGCAGTTCAGGCTGTTACAGAATGTCTTCTCCACTTCCCCAGTCACATAACTACATTTCTGGTGGTTGGCACTCAGTTTGCCTTTACAACCCTTTGCAGCATCCTGCAGCTCCATAAAGGTGATTTGCGACTTTTTTGCTGGTTTGCAGCAAAAAATGTCCATGTGGAACATTTACAATTGCAGTGACTTATGACCAGATTTCTAATTCCAATTGTGGTCATAAATTGAGGATTATCTATACATGCTTCATTGAACATTTCCTTTCTACCACTTTTAATCATCAATTTTTTTCAAGTTATCATCAAATGTTTTTAGAATTCTTCAGAAGTGAAATCCTGTCTAAAAATAATTTCTTTAAAGGAGTACAACAAATAGAAAGATAGAATCCTTGGATTTTGATACTTTTTCAGTGTTGTTATTCTAGTTAACACTGCAAGTTGCAATCCAGTGCAATGGGCCTCTCCCTAAGACATACAGGATTGCATAAATTTCTAAAAGAGAAATTCAAAACTAGCAAATGAAATTGGGGATGTCAGTGAGCTGTTAGATACGGGAAATTTTAAAGTGATGTAGCATGTGTTGTCATACTAAACGGGACATCTTGCTTACTGGAATAAAGAAATAATTCATAATAGTTTTTGCTGCACCCGTGCGTCAAAAATAAAAGGTGTAGGAGGGTAAAGTAAAAAAACAAAACAAAAACCAATCTCTTCCACAATAGAGAATCAAGAGTTTGGTCAAAATCCCTTGTTCTTTTAGATTCATATGTATGTAACAGTGACCGTACAAACAGCCAAATGGTGAAAACGAAGAAACTCCTGGGCATCCTGCTCTATTTAACATTTTCCATATCATACTAATTGTTCCTCAAGGCTGTGGATAAGGAAAGCACTGTGCTGCCCAGCCTTCTTTCAGACATAACTTACACTCCCCAAAAGACAAGCTAAAAATCTTGTTATTCGTACCAAGCATTTTGTTTATCTTTTATCTATTCACTATGCTTCTGCTTAGAGAGTGTCCTTATTTCTACACTACTACTCACTTGACCTGGACTTTTTGTCAGAGAATTAATATATACATTTTGTACAAGCTTATGAATTCTTCAAAATCTTGTCCAAAATCAAGCCTTGTCATATACCCTAGAGTAGATCTGCCTTATCTAAGCTGCAAATAATTGGATAACCACAAAAAAAATAATTCTGTACCTTTTTGGAGCTACATCACCTGAGCCACTGGAGTTGTGCTACCCAGATCTTGTAGCCCTTTGATGGCCCATGTGCCAGGTCCTTCATAATTCAGAGGAAATAATGGAAACCATAAAAACTGCTTAACAAAGATTAGCCATAGGTACTCTTCAATAAACAACTACACTTGAGCCCAGAATTATGGTCATAAGTTGTAGTTCTTAAAATGGCTTGCCCAGGGCAACCCTCCCTCCTGAGGCACCCTGTGCTCTCCTTCCCACACAGTTGGTCCTCACCCCTCACCATCATGCCTCTTATCTTTTACCAAGATAGAATGGGGAGATAGGCCAAGAGGTCCAGTGGACAGAATGGGGGAGGGGGGAGATAGATGGGTGGGGACAGCTGCAGGATCCCTATGGTCAGTTGTAAGGGCAGGCAGATTGCTAAGTACTCAAATTTTGTTCATGTGAGTGCAAGGTTACTACAGCAGCACAATTTTGTGTTCAGTTAACTCCCAACACCATAATAATCCCACATGGTTGCTGAATGAATGGCCATAAGTAATTAAAATCTATAGTGGCAGCATGGGTACAAATAATGTGTTGTAAGAATCTTTTTGACATGAAGCCTATACTGTGCAATTGATTGCTGAAGACTCCTAGATTATACAACTGGCAAATAATACCATTATTACTGCTATTACTGTTGTTTAAATAAACTTTCACAACAGGAAAGTGTAAGTATACATTTTGTCTTGCCCAGTCTTGTGGATTGTATTTAGAATGCTGTAGGTTAAATGTAACATAATCATTTAACAATGTATTAATCACTGAAGGGCACATAAAGGAGGTGGATGTTGGCTTTGGTGATAAATTTATATACAATGAAATTTACATTTCAATGAAAAAAATCCTATAGCAGATTATAGTGACAATATATTTCTGTGAGCTGTCAGTTTAATTTCTGTCATTAATAAAGATCAATCCCATGACGACTGCATCTTGAAAAAGGCAAACTGCTTGAACGAGATTTAAAATCTTTCCTTTTTATATTCATTACTAAAATCTAATTTCATACTGAAAATCTCCCTTCCCTAAAAATGAAATACAAAAAGAATCTTGTTTTTCAGTTATTATAAAGAAAAGTCATAGTGAGAAAAAAAGCAGATTACTACTTTATAGGGCCTGAATCAACACATGACAAATTCATTTTAATTAAATTTAGAGTTCATATATCACAATAAACCACAAACTGCAGTGGCTAAGTTTATAAAACAAGTTAAGTCAAAACTAAGCAAACTATATTACAGCTTTACTGTATAATGTGCAAGTTCTTTGTCTTTATCGGGCACAAGATTTAGTTTTCTTAATGACTAAATAAATATCTATTTACATATCTGGTTTTGGAAAATACAGTTATTAGGTATTACCAATTAATTTCAAAAATATCTAAATTGCTTTCATCTTGATTACCAAGGTATCAATAAGTACAATAGAGCATGTCAAACTTTGAATAACAATATTAAACTCAACAAAATTTAAATTATTAAGAATTACAGAAACAATGTTTGAAATGTCAGGACAAATGCATTGCTGTAATTTAGCATTAAAAATATTAGATTATCTTTAGGTAGAACATTCCCAAGTCAAGAAACCCATCAGAAAACAGCTCCCTCCCTGCACCCACAAAAGGATGGGTCATAAAGCTATATCATTCATTCAGGCAATACCATACTATATAGAATATGATTGGAGAAAATATTTGTAGCTTTAATGTCAGGGCAATAAAAACTCTACAGCATGGAGCACGGCTAACGAGGAAAACATCAGCATTATGAATTGCCTGACTCAGCTAATATAATTCAAGACTAAATTGAATATTGTGTTTAGCCATAAATGTTTACAACAATACAATTAAGCAACTGGATTGTTTTTTTAAAAAATTACTTCATATTTTAATTAACTTGCTTTTTTCCTACTTAGATGCAATTTTGGCAAGGGCTATGAGGGATGAATGGATGAAGAGGTCAAGTTTGAGGCATGAATGTTGAAATAGGGAGTTAGGCAGAGTTTTATGTTAATGTTATTCATCAGAAATGTCATTAGCACATTTTTGCACAAACATTACCTACATACATTGCAATAGATTGAAAGCTTCTATTTGTGAACACTCCTGGAATTTCATTATGCATTGTAAATAAGCAAAAATAGCTTATTTATAGGAAAATAGACTTTTTTTCAGAATTAGATTTAGAACCTGAAATGAATAGTTGAGCACACAATAGCTCAGAAGACCTGAGCATCCATTTAAAATAACATTTTTGTTTCGTTATTAAATTCAGAACAATTTTATACTAATTTCATTTGCAAGTCTCCCTCAAAATTTCTCTAGAGCATCCTTCTTGAGGATGGAAAGTTTTCATTAACTATCTTCACTAAATAATTGGGAAAACCTTATTGCAAATTACTCAGAATTCTATTAGAAAATCTTTGTATAGTATCAGTTTATAGACACATCAATGGAAAAATTAATGATCATTATTCTGCAACAATGTGTTTTATAATTAATGTTCTACAACAGTTTTTTAAAAATGAAACTTTATTCAATGGCTCAAATAGCAAATAAAAAGTTTGGTAAGGCATCCACCTATGACAATTATATGTGTCCATTGGCTTCATAACACCTTGGTTCCCATTACACAAATAGGATGGTAGTGGTTGAACTCCCTTGGTTAGTCAGCTAAAACAAATACACAATGAGGACCAATCTGCTTTAGCAGCCACATCAAGAACTAATTCTGCACATGATAACATCTATTGCAGGATGTACAAACAAAATTTCTTGATGAACAAATGTTCTCTAGTCACATCAATAAATCACTTAGCAATTACATACATATGCTGCCTATTTTGTTCAGATGTAGGCTTACAGATATATTTAAAAAGCATTTTGGAAGTCATCTTTTATATTGAAACCCCAAATTCCTAAAAGCCTCAGAGATGGAGGTTTATCTTTAGATCACTTACACGTTAGCAGTGTGGTGATATTCCTTACAATAAAGAACTGAAGACAATCTGTTTTTAATATATTAATGAGAATTTTGGAAGCATATAATCAGTATTTTGATATTGCAAAGGAAGATAGTTAACTGACTGATATAAACCAGAAGAGTACGTTTCAATTAAACATTATACAGTAAATGTTCTTAAACCTAGAATAGAGAAAAATAAACTCTAACAACTTACATATTTTTCAGAATGGAACCTTATTTGTGCTTTTGAAATCCATAGTGCTACCTTACCTGAGGAAAATATCCTTCACAAATAGGCAAACATAAAGTACTTACAAAAGTAAATGTCAGTATCTCTGAATTAATATTTCTAATTGAAATGTGCGCCACCCACTTCATTTTTAAATTTAATGTATCAGCTGACTTTTACTAAAGCAATTTTCACTAAAGCAAGGAAACACAGTACATTCTGGATAATTCAAGATCCAGAGTATGGCACATTTTTCTGATCAACTGTACTGGCTAGTTGGCTAGTAAAAATGCTCAAAAACTGCATTACAAGGTATTATTTCACAATGATGTATACATACAATTTACTGCATTGCAAGGAAGATATACTCTTAACTATGTTAAATTCTCAGTTTAAATTAAGGCATATTCAAATATTGTCATAAGTTTATACCATTAATCTAAGTCCATGTATAAATGATTCCAATAGAAGCAGAGAAGATAGTTTTTCTTCTCTAATTTGCATAATTTTTAACAGCAAAAAGGAAAGCTTATTTACTATATTTAGTTTTTATCACCACTGTAATTTTCAAGGCAGTAACGTATAAAGTAAAAATTTGATATAAAAGTATATGCTTTAAAGAAACATAAAAAGTAATGCTTTTTTATTCACAGTTCAAGAAACTGCCCATGGGGGAAAAGAATCCTCTACATTCAGAAGAACCATGGTAAAAGAAAACAAGTTATGTGGATTGAATTCTGCTTTTCTTGAAACTATTTTTTTCAATGAAGGTTTTCAGTGTTGTCCCAACCATGCTTTAAGTGGTATATTAGAATTCTCCAACTATTAAGAGCGATTTCCACCATAACAGCCTCCAAATAGCATGCTCTATGTTAATAGATTTTACTATGGTCGAAGTAGGAAAAGAGTTTGAAACTTTGATTATAAAATGCAACATCTTTCTCTGATCCTCTTGGCTAGACTTTTCCTTTTCTTTTTTCCATTCTTTTCTTTGCTGTCTTCCATCTTTCTTGCTCTGATTTCTCTCATTAAGTCAAAAAATACCTAGGAGAAATATCAGCATCAATACATTTGATTGAATGCTTAAATATAACGTACTTAATTTCATTTAACTGTTAATTAAGCCATGATGTATCTTTAATTCCAAATAATATACTGATACCTAGAAAATTATTTTTTGTTATATCTCAACAGCAAAAACAAAGTTCTTGCAAAATTGACAATAGATTAATGTAATAATTTACATTAAAATTTAACACATGAAAAATACAACTGAAGACTACAGGACTAGTCTTTCAAGTTAACAGTCAATAAACTTGCAAAGAACTCATTGGTCATCACATATACTTCAATCATTTTGTGCCATACTTTATAGAGCAAATTAATTTGCTGATTCAGTCTTTAGTATCGGACTGTTTTTAACAGAATTCTTTCTCACATGGTCACGTTTTTAATCTAAGCCACAGACCTTTGCTTGTAGAAACTATGCTCCTTTCTTCTTTTGCTCCTCCTTTCCCTAAATTTATTTTTTCCTTGTATTAAAAAGCTGCTAATGAGAAAAAACAGAAAATGGGCTGCTGCCACATGCTGCCAGAAAGAGAAAGGGCCATACTTCTCCATCTCCCACTTCCAATCTTCCCTTCTCTTCCATAGGAGTATAGGACAGAAATTGCTTTGCAACTAACTGCACAGCAAAGGACAATGAAGAGCAGAGTAACTCAGAAAGTCAGATGTGGGGAAAAAAGGGTGAGCCAAGCATGAGGAGAAAGAGAATGGACCATCTGCACCATTAGTTTTATTCTCTTCCATGCTAAGGTTGCTAATTATTTCCCAAACTCTGCTCTGGAAGGAAACAACTGCAGCAGAAAATAAAGCATGTAATATTGAAAAGTGAAATTACAGGTTTTCATTACTTCTACCCACTTTTTTTTAACCTATCTTTCAGATTTTAAATTTTCTAAACTGTACAGGGATTTTTTCTAGCCACTGTGGGAAATAATTATATTGGCAAATCTTATGTGAAGAGGATTATGCAAAATGGGAAATAGCTTTTACCTTGTCAACATTAGCTCGTGTTTTAGCAGATGTTTCCACATAGTTAACATTCCACTGATCAGCTCTAATTTTTGCTTCTTCTACGGAAACCTGTCTTCTATCTTCTAAATCCGATTTGTTGCCAACAAGCAAAAATGGTACATTTTCATCTTCCTTTACTCTTAAAATCTGCTCTCTAGAAAAGATAAAAAATCACACACTTTTAATCTATACACTCATGGATAATACAATTATTTATCTGTGATAACATTTTGAACTAAATATACAGTTGTAAATGTAAACAATTTGCCAAGCATGTAGATCATCATGTGACCACGGAGGTGGTAGTGCAATGTTTTGCCACAGCCAGAAGAGCTTTACGGAGTGTAAAGCATCCTTTCCGAAGCCATCCTAATTCCAAATTGTTGTTAAACAGTCATTTATCACCAGATCTGTGAAGTGATATAGCAGGTTACACATGGTTATCTGGAGCATTAGTCAGGTATTTCAGTTACATATAGCTTTCTTGTATGATTTTTATCAGTTGATGGATATTTATAGAATTACCATTAAAAAAGGCAAGGAACTTATGAGACAAAAATTACTATCAGTCAAAATATTAAAACATGCATTCAATTACCTGAAGTCAGCTGTAGCAGCAAAAGATTCAAGCTCTGTAATTGAAAATACACAGAGAAAACCTTCTCCGCTTCGAAAATAGTTATCACGAATTGCAGCATAATCTTCCTGTCCTGCTGTATCCAATATATCGATCTGAACTTCTTCTCCATCCAGGACCACTCTTTTTCTATAACTATCAGCTTTAGTAGGTTCATAATCTTCTACAAACTGTTAATAAAATAGTCAATTCCATTCTAAACAACAAAATTTTAGTAGTGATTTCAAAAACTATTACTTCTTGTCCAGCCATACCTTAACACTGGTGGAAGATTATATGGTATTTGTATAATGAAATGTATAAGGCCATTTATCTTATAGAAATGACTCAAAATGTGTACAAGTATTAAAAACTTGTCAGTTAAAAATAACCCATCACACAAGAGGTAGTATGTTCCAGTTCTAATAATTCAAACCACAACAGACCCAAACACCTGAGAAGGAGCCAGAGTCTTATAAAAGACCAATAGAGCCAAGGCAATCTGTGGGATGCTGTTCAACAAGGCAGGCAATGACAGAGAAAGCAGAACTCCCAAGTCAACAAAAGGAGTTTAATGGAAGAAACCTGGAGTTTTCCCATTCTATAAGATCTGGTAGGACAAATAAACAATTGGAGAAAGGCAATCTGATGAAGAGCTTGGCCTACATGCAAGGCTTTAAGATGACAACCAGCACCTTGAATTTCATTCAGAAGCCTACAAGGAGCCAGTGCAGCTTGCAGAGCAGCTGTATTATTAGGCTTAGCGAGAGAAGCCAAAAACTGCCTGCATCGTTGTATTCTGGACCAGTGGCAGCTTCAAACACTCTTGAAAGGCAGCTTCATAGTGCATTACAATAACCCAAATGGGGATTATTAAGACATGAGCCACAGTTGTAAGATCTCTCAGTCCAGGAACAGGCACAAGTAGTGCACAAGATGGACTTGCAAAAAGATCTGTTAGCCATAGCTGCACCTGTTCCTTAAGCAGATGCCATGAAATGGGAATACTCCCAAGTAATGCACAAATTCTGACTAGGAAACTGCACTCCAAGGCATTGTTAGAGATGGAAAATCTCTTGAGTGGGAAGGGGAGGACTTAAAACCCTCAGCCAGTCTTAAACCAAATCCTGTATAGTTGCCTTATGCAAAAAAAAGTTTTTAATCGCAATATTTTCTGTTTAAACCTAGCAGTGGAAACAAGATACCAATTTTGTTTTAAATTTTGACTCTTCCAAATATAACACACACCCCTCAGCTATTTTTAATTATTTATCAAGTAATTTTCTCTGATTGTATCTGAACTGCTTCAATCACTGATATAACTGAGTGTAATATATTAAGTACTGCTGACTAATGTATGTAATGTTTTGTAATATTGTTTGTTGCTTTCACAAATACCTTGAAAATATATATAGAAATTTAAAAACATTTTTAATTCTTACCTCATCATACATGAATTGTAAAGTCAATGCAGATTTTCCTACTCCCCCACTGCCTACCATAATTACTTTATGCAGAGCCAAAGAATTTTGACTTTTAGGCTTATTTGTTGCCATTTTTACCTGCAGATATTTCACACAAAGGTAAGGCCTAGAACAAGAAAAATGATTTGCATTAATAAGGATTTAAACTATTCAGTTTTTTATTCTGTTCAACAACTCAGAGTGACAGTTATAAAAGAACTACATATGGACTTCCAAATTAGTAAATTAGTAAAATGATAAATGCTGTACACACAAGCAAATTAAACACTTTCCTGAAGAACTGTTGCTTTGTATTAGTGAATTTTAACTCCTAAATGTATAAATAACACAACTAAATAACCCTCAAAGGAATTGAATAAGTAGAGAATATTGAGTGTGCACTTTCAAATAAGTCATCTGGGTGAATACCTGAAAAGTCCCTCCAATTTTCAGAAGTGATTTACCTTTGCCTTTTTAGGCTGACAGGGACTGGCCCAGTCACCCAGCTTGCTTTGCACTTAAGACAGAAGTAACTCAGGATCCCCTAGTTTCTAGCTTGGTGCCTTAACGTCTATTCCACACTGGCTCTCAAGTGGTGAACAGGTCTAGCAATGTGTATAAGCATCCATCATAACCAATAACAGAACCTTATTTAAGGGCAGCATATGTAACAGAAGAAAGCTGCTGACTTCAGAAATCTGAAGAGTGTCCCAGAACGATTTGCTTAGCGCTTCATCTCAACAGAGCCAGATAAGATTTTCTCTTTATTGGAATTGCCACCCCTTCCCAGTTAAGGCCAATCACAGGTCTGTCTGGACTCAATAAATATGATGGAGTTCCAGGTAGGCCCGGCATATCCAGCTTTGAATAAGTTTAGCACTGCAGGGAAAAAACGAGCGCCCTACACGGAAAAGCTTCCATCACTTTTTTTCAGTGATACACCTCAGTATAACGAAGAGCAAAGCAGCCCTGAAGCTGCTTTAACTAACCAACCAGCTACCCGCCCACACAAGCAGCGTGGCGCGCCCATTGCGTTCAAGGCATGGGAAAAGGGAGCGCCACGGCGGCCCGTTCAGGAGGGAAAAGCAAGGACAAGCCAGCAGGAAAAGAAAGGCAGGAGCTCCGGAAAAGGAAAAGCTCTTCCTAAAGCAAGGGCTCCGCCGTCGGCCTCCAAAGGCATTCCACGCCACTATTGCCCTAGGCCCCCTTCTTCCCGTAAAACTGCCCTGGGCTTGGAAGCGTCCTCCCATTCCCCATTCAGAAGCTGAAAGGCTCAGCAGGTCGCACCCGCCTCCAACTGACCGCGGTGGGGAAGGAAGCACATACTTACCTGCAAGGGATGGGTCAGGCCCACCTAAGGTAGGAGAAGGAATCAGGAGAAGGAAGCTTGTAGAGGCTGTCTCCGCTTGTCTCTTCAGCTCCAGACCCGCTAGGGCGAGACCGGGGCGGCTGGATTAAGAGCGACACAGACCACAACCGCTTGCTTGGCAGACGCGTCTCATCAGCTAGTCGACTCCTCCTTCAAAGGAGAAAGATAAGGGGGAAGGGAGGTGGGCGGGGCCTGAAATGGGCTTCATGTGCTTTCCGAAGGGAGAGGAGGAGGAGGATCAAGGGTGCGAATGTAGAAGGGCGTGGTGGTGCGCGAAGACCACCAAATGCTTTTTAAATTAAGAGGCCTCCATTGGTTATACATCCTGAGGACATGGTGATGTCATTCTTTCTCACTTATCTCTATGGTGAATGCCCTATACTCTACAGAAATTTCGGAGCCGAGGACTCTTCGATGTGATTGTTCTCACCTGGGATTGAGCAAAAGGCTAAATTAGAAAGCGAATAACTCCCTTCCTATCTTAAAAGCAAAATCACTAGCAACTAGTTCAATTTAAAATTAATAAAGATTTCACTAAAGGCTCATTCTCGCAGCTAACCTCTCCTGTCCCTGACGCGAGGACAACCAGTGTCAGAATGTAAAGTCAAATGTCACCATCATACTTTACACCACTCTCCCTGAATACTTTGCTGGGAGTTTCAGGAATACTATTTTGCCAATTTTCTGTCACAATTTGACTTCTGCTGAAATTATTTATAGCATGACTTTCCTGTGCAGTATGGTGACTACTAAAAACTAATGCTGGTGCCTTCAATTGTTCTATCACTGGGCTTTTAGATAACTTCCTTTCCCAATCCCAGTCCATACACTCATTCTGCTTTTATCTAGGCAAGAGTCAGGTTAAGGAATCATTTCTAGAGAGGTCTTTTTATTACTATTTCTTTAAAAAAAAAATATTCAGGTTGACTGGTAGAAAACAAATTCCACAGAAACATTACACATTTATTTCATTTCATTGATGCTGACAATTCATATTCTATTGCTCTTCCAATTACTATTCATTTCCAGGACCATGTTTATGATACAGCATAGTTTAAAGGGGGTCAGCAATCTTATTCAGTGTAGGGGTCAGAGACTTGCAGCTGCCATAGTGTTTTGAAAGAAGAGAAAAGAAAATTCTCATTGATGAGTGAAAGTAAATTAGGAAAAAAGGAAGGGTGTTTCATGTGTTTTAGCTTTTAAAAGCTATATGGATTATAAGAAGAAATTTATTGCGTTTAATTTGTCCCTCAACATGGCACATGATGAATAAATGATGAATAAAATTCAATTATAAGGGATGTAAATTTAGGAAAGGACACAGAGGTTTCGAAAGAGGTCAGGTGTCTTCCAGGTGCTACTGCCAGTAGGGACAAGAAGCGTATTTTTAAAATAGTCAAGAATGCTAGCAAGGACTGTAATGTAGATGCTATTGTACATCTTGGCACTAACGATCCTTCCCGAAAAGATGTACTCTCTGTGCAGAATGATTTCCAGAGCTTGGGGCAGGAACTTAGCAGGTTAGGCTGTAGGCTTACTTTTTCAGAGGTTTTACCAGTGTATAAGGAACAAAATGGAAAAGGCCAGTGCATAGCAGAATTCAATATGTGGCTAAAGGAGTGGTGTAAAGGGGAAGGCTTTAGTTATATTAGTCACGATGTCTGTAGATGGTCCAGTGAAAAAATGTACAAAAGAGATGGTTTGCATCCATCAAAGAAAGGGACTGAGTTACTTGGCAATAAACTCACAGATTTTCTGAAGGAATATTAAAACTAAACAACGGGGACAGTAAGTTAATTGATACAGAACATCCCTGTCCCCAGCAATCAAAAAATTATAGGGTTAGCAGTGCATGTAACATAGATGTGTGTGTGGACAAGAATATCAACCTTGCTGTCAAGCAAAATCAAGCTTTTAATAGCGAGTGCCACACAAAGTGCACTAACCAAACAGGTGGTAAGAAAATAGGAAATTCAGGCACCACACAGGTTATGTAGAAAGTAAACAAAGGGTCAGTCATATACTCAAATGTCTATACACCAATGCACAGAGTATGAACAGTAAACAGAGTGAACTAGAAGTTCACATAAATGAGAGCAGATAATATATTATTGCCATTACGGAAACATGGTGGGATGAAACCCACAAATGGAACACACAGCTAGAGGGATTTAAATTATTTAAAAGAAACAGAACAAATAAAAGAGGAGGTGCTCTCTATATAAGAAATAACTACATCTCTACAGAAATAGAGCACAACAATGATGAAAACTGTCTTGAATGCATTTGGGTCAATATAAAAGAGGGGAAAATGACATTGCCATAGGTGTATATTATAGGCCACCCAACCAAACAGAGGAAATAGATGAACTTTTTGCTAGTCAGCTAACTAAGGTATGTAGGAAACACATCACAATAGTAATGGGAACTTTAATTACCCTAACATCAACTGGGAGACAAACTCTGCACCAAGTGGAAGATCAAACAGATTCCTGACAAACCTAGTAGACTTTGTCTCCCAAAAAGTAGAGAAGGGAACTAGGGGATTAGCCATATTGGATCTAATCCTCACTAACAGAGATGAAATGATAGGTGTTGAAGCCACAGGAACCTTGGGGGGAAGTGATCATGCAATATTGGAATTCAACGTTATGGAAGCACAAGCAATAGAACACAGTAAAAGTAGAGTCTTGGACTTTAAGAGAGCTAATTTCAATAAATTTAGAGCTAATTTCAATAAACTTGGGAAGGATTCCTTGGGAAGGATTCCAATGAATCAGCAAACACCTAGAGGCAAACAAAGTCATTATTAAAAGCCAACATGGGTTTGTCAAAAACAGATCATGCCAGATAAATCTTATTGCATTCTTTGACCAAGTGACAAAATTAGTGGACCAGAGGAATGCTGTGGATATAATTTACTTGGACTTCAGTAAGGCATTTGATAAAGTAGATCACAACCTACTACTTGATAAGATACAAAAATGTGGGTTAGACAGCATCACCACCAGAGGGATTCGTAGCTGGCTGACCGGCTGTACTCAGCGTGTGGTCCTCAATGGAACCGCATCTACATGGAGGGAAGTGTGTAGTGGGATGCCCCGGGGCTCTGTTTTAGGCCCAGTGCTCTTCAACAACTTCATCAATGATTTGGACGAGGGGATAGGTGGGGAAATCATCAAATTTGCAGATGACACCAATAGCCAACACTCCAGAAGACAGGCTTAAGATACAGGAGGACCTGGACAGACTTGAACACTGGGCACTATCTAACAAAATGAAATTCAATGGTGAAAAAAGTAAGGTTCTACATTTAGGCAAGAAAAACCAAATGTACAGGTATAGTATAGGGGGTACCTTGCTCAATAGTAGCAACTGTGAGAAGGATCTCAGAGTCCTAGTGGACAATCACTTAGGTATGAGCCAGCAGTGTGGTGCAGCTGCCAAAAAAGCCAACACAGTGTTAGGCTGCATTAACAGGGATAGAATCAAGATCACGTGAAGTATTACAATGCCTTGGTAAGGCCACACTTGGAATACTGCATCCAGTTTTGGTCACCACGATGTAAAAAAGATGTTGAGACTCTAGAAAGAGTATAGAGAAGAGCAACAAAGATGATCAGGAGACTGGAGGGTAAAACATGTAAGGAATGGTTGCTGGAATTGGGTATGTCTAGTAGTTTAATTAAGAGAAGACCGAGGAGGGACATGATAGCAGTGTTCCAATATCTCGGGCTGCCACAAAGAAGAGGGAGTCAAGCTATTCTCCAAAGGCAGGACAAAAAGCAACGGATGGAAACTAATCAAGGAGAGAAGCAACCTAGAACTAAGGAAAAACTTCCTGATAATTAGAACAATTAACCAGTGGAACAACCTGCCTCCAGAAGCGGTAAATGCTCCAACACTGGAAGTTTTTAAGAAGAGACTGGACAGCCATTTGTCTGAAATGGTGTAGGGTTTCCTGCCTGAGCAGGGGGTTGGACTAGATGACCTCCAAGGTTATAACTATTATTATTATTATTAAAATGGAAAAGAAAATATATTTAGAGCCTCTGAGGGCTGGTATAGTCTATCTGAAAAAAAATTAAACAGTTTTGGCTATAGAAGCAGTTCAAGCATAATATATGCATAGTTTTTCTTCTTCCCAGCTTTATAATTTTTAATTTTGGAAAATTATTGGGAAATTAATTAATATTTTTTGTAGTTGAATTGTATAATTGTCTTTATCTAAACAGAGAATGCAATAAGAGTGTGCAACAATTCTAATGAGTCCAACGAATTCTAATGAGGGAAACTTTTAGAACTAGCAACAGAAGTCATAGAGCATGAATGTAAGTGGGATCTGTCATGAACTGACTGTAATAAAAAAAGTGGCCATAGGATTTTGTTCACAGCTGTTCAAACTATTGCTGATAGTTTACTATATACCACAACATAGGGAGGAAAACAAAGCAATCACAGTTCCTCTACCTACTAATGGCTGCTGCTTAAGGAGTAACGTGACCATTAAGCAAGAAAGTTGTGTGTTTATCCTGCATTCACAGTTTAAGGAAACAGAGCAGGGCTATAATACACTAAGAAGTTGCTGAAGGTGTTTAGTATTTTCAGGATGGAGCACAACTATGACCATAATTTTAAATTTGGTATAGCAATAATGATGTCTATTTTGTATGTTAAAGTTAAATGTTTGTTAATCTGCAATTTATTATTTGAAGACTTGAAACTCATATGAGGAAAAATATGAAGGGATATTAAAATATGTCAGGGATAGAATGCAGACCATGTTATTTTGAGGAATGATATATTTTTTATTTCTCTTTCATAAGAAAAGTCTAGAAGTTTACAAGTCATTCTGAGCTACCTCCTTGGGTTTTTCACTCTTACTTACTAAATAAAGGAGAAGGTGAGAGAATTTTCATATAGTTTCAAAGGTTTTCTCACTGTGAAAGTCTTAGACTTTCAATTCCCTTACCATAATTCTGTGCCATTCAATCAAATCAGGTCTTGCAGGCTCCTGATCACATGGTGCCAGAAAGATCCATTTGGATTGTTTTTGTTGAGAGCTTCTACATGGAACCTAGCAATGGGTACTGTGGAAACTGGCCATTCTTGGGGTACCTCGACTGTCATTATGCTGAAGCTGCTGGCAGCTTAT